TCCTACACCGTTCACCTGATTTGGATGTAAATACCCTCAAATTAAAGCTGACAGTCTGCAGTTAAAGCACATCTTGTTCGTTTCATTTGAAATCCATTGTGGTGGTGTATAGAGCCAAAAATGTTAGAATTGTGTCGATGTCCCAATATTTATGGACCTGACTGTATATATATATATATATATATATATATATATATATCACGCAGGTAGTTTTAATGTTATGGCTGATCAGTACATATACAGTTCTGTGCAAAAGTCTTAGGCACAAGCAAAGAAATGCTGGAGAGCAAAGATGCCTTCAAAAATAATGAAGTTAAAGTTAAGTTATGTTTCTACATAAAAAAAAAATACTATAAAGAGCAGTAAACAGTAATAAATGAAATAAAGTCAATATTTGGTGTGACGATCCTTCGCTTTAAAAAAAAAGATCAGTCTCAGGTACGGTGTTACTGAGCATCTTGCAGAAGCAGCCGCAGTTCTTCCGGAGACTTTGACTGTCGACTCGCTTCTTATTTCTGCAGCGAAACCCAGCATTTACGGCATTTGGCAGATGCCAGGGCAACTTACATTTATCTCATTTATACAACTGAGCAGTTGAGGGTTAAGGGCCTTGCTCAAGGGCCCAGCAGTGGCAACTTGGTGGTGCTCAAGGATTGAACTTGTGACCTTCCGATCAGTAGCCCAACGTCTTAACCACTGAGCTCCCACTTCCCTGAAAGTGTCTCTTACGTCATCTGCTGCTTTCTTTACTGACATACAAACATTTTTCTGTAACATTTAATTTTGTGCTGAAAAACTAATGTTTGGAATCTAAAATGTTTCTGTACTGAATCAATAATGTAGAAGTCAGAAAATAAATGGAGGCAAAGGTTTTAACCTCTAAGCCACCGTGCCCCTATATATATATATATATATATATATATATATATATATATATATATATATATATATATATGTCATTTTCATATATGATGTAATTTTCAGAATATTATATAATATCAACTTACTGCACAGGAATTTTAAATGTACTGTTGATATTATGTAGTCATCTGTAATATTCTGAGGTAAAAATTTTTTGCATCCTATTTTTTTTTTAACACTGTAATGTACTGAAGCCTTTTTCACCCCCGCGCGCGCGTTCCCGCTCTCAGGCCTCTCTCTCTCTCTCTCTCTCTCTCTCTCTCTCTCTCTGCGTGCGCGCTCCCGTTCCCCTTCGTGCTCGCGCTCGCCCACGTTCTCATCACAGCACACAAACAAACATGCCTGAAGTTCCCGGCGCAGAGCACGAGCGCTCCGGAAATACAGCCAAGAAGAGAAAGCAGGAGAATTTGGACGAATTGTCCGCCAGGAAGAAATCTCGCTGGGGGATTTTAACTAGTCAGGGTGAGTGCCGAGTGCTTTTCTCTCCCTCTGCCCTTTACACACATACACTGCGCACGAGACTGAGGTTTGCAGAGTGAACAGATGCGCAGCTCGCGCTCATGTTAAGCTGCAGAAATATTACATTCATGAGCAGTGAATGATCAGCTCATCACTAGGTTTGGTTTGTGTGTCCGTTATGCAATAACATCAACAACGTGAGCGTGGTGCACGTGATATGGAAAGCCTACAGGTTCAAAAAGATCTAAAAATAAATCATGCACTTGACCAGTGGCAGTGCATGCTTTCAAGAGTCTTTAAAATCATAAGAGGTGTTTCAGAGCTACCTGTCCCTTAGTGTTACACACACCAATATGATAGCTTCTCTAGAAAAGAAAAAAAATCCAAAAATAGCTATACGATTAATTAAATACTCATTATACAAGACTTAGTTATTATTATACAATATTATACAATAATAGACAAAGTCGAGCGGCGTTCCAAGAGTGCCTGAATTTCCTGTTCAATTCAGTTTTATTTGCATAGCGCTTTTAACATTGTCACAAACCAGCTTTACAGAAATAAATACATTCAAATTAAACTAAATCCAAGTCAATTGTAAATATGTGAATTTATGCCTAATGAGCGAGCCAGAGGCGACGGTGGCGAGGAAAAACTCCCTGAGACGACATGAGGAAGAAGAAACCTTGAGAGGAACCAGACTCAAAAGGGATCCCATCCTCATCTGGGTGATAACGGATAGAGCGTTCATGAATAAATCCCTTCTATAACTGTGTACTGCATGGACAAATAGTGCAGCTGTGTAACCAGGAAATTCATTACAGCTTTCACGTGAAGTCTGGTTCGTTGAACCTATCCACTGTCCGCTGATGGAGACCTGAGTGCAAAACTGCCACCACAGTACAGCTCCCCAATAGCGCTGGCAGTCTCACCGAGACGTTTCGCGGCGTGTATCACTCCGCTCGTCTGTGTTCGCCACGTAAAATTCCACTTCCTAGTTCGAAACGGTTACTACAGTAGAGCTAATGACATCATCAGCGGACAGGGCAGAGGGTACGTTTTTCATTAGTATAACTTTTGACTTAAAATGTGAAAGCTCGTCAGATGAAGATGAAAAGGAAGAAGGGGAGACAGTTTCCCCGGAAGAACCTTTAACAGGAATGTACAAATCAAGGTGAGCTAGCTAGCTGAGTAGCCGACATGCTATACCGCGGGTGTGGCTTGTATCGGGATCTGTTTCCACTCCGTATTGTGTCTGAAATGTCACTTACTCGATATTAATTTCTGGTTTATAGAACTGTTGTGTAAAAGCAGTATCGCACTCGTAGTTGTACGAACGTAACCTGAATATCGGGATGGCTGTGATTAGCTACAGCACTCACCCTGCGGCGTTGTGCCTACGCCGATATTCAGTGTAACCGCACTCTTTCTCGTACAACAGTGATTAATTAGAATGTACCTGTCTTGCTGGAGAGCAGCAGCAGTTAGCAGCAGCCCAAAAGAAATGTATCAAGTAGCGCAGTGTTGAAAAGAGTGAATTATAAGCCCCTCACTCACACCTGTCAGATGACGACTCACTTGCCATCTAGGATGAGCATCTAGCATGTTGTCCTTGCTACAGTCAGCTTCCTGTTTCAAAAGGAAATCTGCCATCTGCATTAGGAGTTTGTAGCTGTGTTTTCACTGTAGGAAACACTATAGGCTACAAATGTGACAGGAGCGATGGTGAAACATAAACAAAACATGCTAATCAAAAGAATTTTTATCACCTCAAGCTCAGTTTGAAGAACGGACATTCTATATTAATAATTCATTAATTAACATATTATTAATTCTCTGTTAGCTAGCCACGGACGGCTCCAAGCCCATCTTCTTCACTATTTAAAATGTTTTCTCCGCACATAACATTATTATACTATAATACCGATATGGGACATTTTTCATATTATTGAGACAATTTATGCAATAAAAATATGAAATATGAAAATAAATTATGCCATTAATGGCATGCACATGCATTTATTCAGAGTTTAATACATATAACTGCCCAAAAGTCATTTAACCAACAATTTAGGTAACACATTTCAGTAGATTTATATTAAATGACTAAAAGTAGAACATGGGATCATTAACATTTGTTATTTGTTATTTTTTTAAATTTTTTGATAGTTTGTCCCTGTTGGCCTTCCATACAGTCACTCAGTGCCCTCTTTCCTCTACATGCAGCCTGATTGGATATTTTTACACTCATTTCATTTGAAAACTTGGATGATTGTTTATTTTTTTATTTATTTTTTTTTATATCAACATAGAAATCAATCTGCATTAGATTATTTCGAACAAAAAAAATAATACAATGTGTGAAAAAAAAAGTGAGCTGAGCATGGGCAGTTAGACGAGTTTATCTTAACTTGCTTCGGTTATTTAAATACAAATATTACAATTTAATACACTTTGTTTTAATCATTTTATGTTTATTAAATACTTATATGTTGAGCTATTGAGCTATCACATTTAAGATTTCAGATCAGCAGAGACAGATTTTAGTTTCAGGAGGTTTTTATCCACTAAAACACCCCTCCTTATATATAATGAAAAACATATTTGCACTCATGATACATTTGCACTTGCACTTAGGGAAGGACGTGCTAATCTTCCCGAAAAAAGCTTGACCTTCTGATTTATGAACTCCACACACCCCAGTAAGTGTTTGACCTTGACCTCGGAGTCACATTAGGATTTAATTGAAGTGCCGTTCAGCATGTAGCTCTTCAGCGTTTGTTTACTTCACCTAGTCCACTAATTAGTGCGCTTAATCTGAGTGCACTAGCGTGTTTGCTGTAAATAGCAGACGTGGGGAGAAGGGCATGGGAAATCTGTGCTATGTTTAGATCAGGACATTTGAACCTGTCAGGCAAAGTCATACCGCCAATGCGGCTGAAGTGAAGAGCGCTTCAGTGTGAAGGAGCAAAACAGACTGAGAGCACTTCATTAATCAGCCTTAGGGTCCCGTCTATATTTGAATCTCTTAATTCGTAATTACAGCAGCAAAAACGTCTAGACCCAAGTGTCTGGCTGTGATTTTTTTGTCTCCTTAATCATTGCCACTTATAACCTTCAGCGCGAGCCCTGTGTCTCTGCGAGCTGGAGCTCGAGTTCCTATCTGCAGTAAACTCAGGGTCTAAACACTTTGTAGAATATTAATGAGCTGCCATTCAGTCACACAGAAAGGGCTCCTGAGGAAAGAGAAAACTCCCAGAATCCCTCAGTGCTGCAGTAAAACCAGTAAGAGAACAACGCTGGCAACAAGCAGGACATCTGTTACTGGGAAAACTGGGCTGCTGTTACTGGTGCTGTTACCTCACATGTGTTTTGTACTTGAATTATTAAGTAATTGAATTAAGTATTGCTTAATTATTTAGTAAAATGAATTCCTTAGGTACTTCATTAATTAATTACTTTTTTTTTCTCGTTTTGTTTACCACACCCATGACCAGGGTAAAGAGGTTAATAACAAGTTAATAATAATTCATTTTATTCATTTTCTTTTTCTTTCTTTTCTCTTTCTTTCTTTCTTTCTTTCCATTTTCCTCTAATCCAGTTTTTACCAGTTTTTACCGATTCAGTATTTGATCATATTAAATACATATTAAAGATAAATTATATACAGTTAATTGTATTATATAGAATTTATTGTCTATAAATGGATAAACTGCAGATTTATAAATTATAAAGTTGCACATTCCTTTAAGGGATGAAAATAGTTTATAATATATAAAATCAATACATTTTTATTTCGATTGATTATTTTTTTTTTTTGGTTAAATTTTAGTAATACTGATTGATCACAGGGCTGCGCAAAATATATGTCGAAATCGCTGAAATATGGCAGTATGCATATCACAAGGGCGTGCGGTAACGGGATGGTTTTAATACTTCAAAAAGTTACAAAAAGTCAAAGTTTTAGGGCGAAGCAGACAGTAGAGAATTCCTTTCTGTCTTCCTTTTCCTCAAACGAACATGAGACATGTATGCTGGTTATGTCGTTTTCAGTTTTTAAATAAATAAATAAATAAATTTATATATAATATAATTGATTTTACACACCTATAGCATTATCATACCGCATATCGCATTATTTAACAAGTCGATTTTCTTCAATACCGTGCAGCTAAATTTCTTCTTCTTCTTCTTCTTCTTCTTCTTCTTATTATTATTATTATTATTATCATCATATTGAGAGGAAAGCAGATGAAATAGGCCCTGTTGTTTAACTAATGCTTATAATATATCTTTTAAAAAAAATCACTGAGGTTCACTGTTTGCCAACAT